GCCAGTACTAATATATCAAACGCGGGTGATAATTAACCAAGAAAATTAACACAACAATTAAAAGGGTAGAAATAATAGTAAAAAATTAAACAAGTGGATTGCATAATTTTGGGAATATAACGAGTAGTTAGGCCTTGAATGAGTGTCTAAAATGTTTACGCACTAAACAGTTTAAGATGAACTAGCCAGAATAATGAATATTTAATTCAATTTTTAGACTTTCCCATCGATTGATTGGACCGAAGCGCTTGGTCTCAGGTTGACATGTCGGCTTCTAGTGCAAATGCTTCGACGATGTCTAGGCATGTAATAGAAGTTAATTGGTGGATGGTGACGAGTAGTGGAATCATGGATGCGCATTCTGTTCTATCTGGGACTCTTCATCTGGATGTACCTGCATTTGAACCTCGGTGGGAACATCATCACTCAATGCAGAATGCATGTACATCCAGCTGACGAGTCCCGAATAGGACAATGTGCATATCCTAGATCCACTGTTCGTCACCATCCACCAACTAAGAATAATGGATAGTTAAGGTAATGATGACTTTCAGAATGCTTAGGAGGAAAAGAAGGGGAATTTTTAATTCTTCACATTTATGTAAAGATGGCCAAAGTAAAGAAAGTAGTCGTACAAATTTCTTCTGAACATACAGGTTTGGATTCTTCAGGTAGATTCCCATGGCTTCAGTTGTATGTAGAAGACGAACTCTCAAAGCAAAATGAATACTTATCGGAATGCGATGTATAACTTTAAATGCCTTATTAATATCAACTATATGTGAACTATCTACAAGATGTGATTAAACAGAGCTACGAATCTATCTTGTTTGTCCCTCGGTTAATTATGCTGGATGATGTTTAAAGATACGATGATGAACCTGTCTAATAGTACGTCCAAGGTAGGTAGCTCCGAGGGAGCAGTTCATTTGGTATATACATATAGAGGAGACGAAACTAAGTTGTTTATCCTTATTTCTCGAACCTAAAATTATTTATTTTATTTATTTTGATTACAGCTTGATGCCACACCGTATTTTCAGTACAAGTATGGAATTTTCCTCATGGATATCGGTAGCCCAAATTTTGCAGGCCGACCATAGATATCGGGTGTGCGTCGGCAGGGGATCGAACCCCGGACCATGTGCATGGTCGGCGAAAGTTCTAACCACTGTGTTATGAAGAGACACTGTTTCTCTGCTGCGTTTTTAATGATCCTTTCCTCAATTCTTCAGGTACTGCGTTACTATTTCTCTGATGTTATCACGAAGAAACTTCATTTTTATGAACAAGGGCTTCTTTGGAGCTGTTACCGAACGGACTTGTCTTGGTGCTAAATTCATGCTTTTATCAATGAAATTTTATTCAAATAACCACCTTCATTAACAGTTGTCTTCGCTCAATACTACTCAAGATCAGATGGTCGGCCAGAAAAGATCAGCAACAGGGAAGGATCTCTGGGAGCGAACAAACACAGCAGGAACCGACTGTGCAACAAATATAAAAAAAGAAATGGAGGTAGATTGGCCATACTCTGAGAAAACCATCAAGTGACATCACTAGACAAGCCATCGCTCGAGTGGAACCCGAAAGGGAAGCGGCGAGTTGGTCGTCAGTGCAAGGTTGACTTGGAGGAGGTCATGTGAATATGAGATGAAAACGTGTGGGCAGACATGGAGCCAGGTGAAAACGTCGGTAGAGAACCGAACGCAATGGAGACGCACGGCTGAAGCCCTATATTCCTCTAGGAATTAAAGGAAACAATAATAATAATTATAACCACCTTTTCTGGTTAATTCCCTGGTAATCTGAAGTTCCTCATTAAGAGAGTCATTCGAGCAAATTATCCTAGCTCTGTGTACCATACACCTTACTAAGTTGCATTTATATTCCGAAAATATGTATACTGACCTGTCGTTGTAGTTTTTCTACATACACTCTTTCTTAATGTATCATCCCTTTTTTCTGATCAAAAAGACATCTAGGAATGAAATGTTATCATTCCATTCTTTCTTTGTGGTAAAGTTTACTACTGGATGCACGCCATTGAACTTGTCAGGGATGCTGGTTGCTTTATTCTCGTTTTCCATAATCAAAAATGTATCATCCATATATATATATATATATATATATATATATATATATATATATATATATATATATATATAGTAGAATTCTAATTCATTAAATACTTATTTCAGTAGTCCATTCTCTAACTTCACGATGGACGACTTAGCTAGGACTGAACCTTTTTGTCTACAGGATTCCTTATTCAAAATGAAATGAACTATCATAGTGCATCTTAAGATAGATTCTTTCATAAAGGATACAGAACAAAGGATACATCAAAAAATTATTTTGGACAGAGAAGTGTAGAGCCTAATGAGTAAGTTAACGACGAGAATATCCTTTATTCACTAATCAGCCATTTGGAACTTATAATGAGCATCTTTAAACGATCATGAAAATGCCAGTACACATTTATTACAAAACGTAGAAGAGGAAGAAACTTTGTCGAATATCATCTCAAATGATATATGGTTTGTGTTTGATTGGAGAGGGTATTTTGGTAGTCCAAAGCAGGCCTCCAATTAGAGGTTTTGTTATCATATGAACATCACCTTCCGTGTTACTTGTTTTGTTACTTTTTTACCACTTACCCAATTTATTCATCCCACGGCGTAAAACATTTTGATTTTTAGAAACGCTTTTTCACACCTCACAATAGTTGAAGTCATAAATCTGTAGAACATCTCGTTTTTAGGGTCTAGGTAGCGAGAGAACCAGTGAAAGTCGGGGAGTACGACAGAGAGATGTTTCTTCCTAGTTTGGGACTGTTAAGCATTTTGCGCTCATCACCCCACCGGAGCTTCAGGTAACGAGCCAACCACGTTAGTATTCAGCCACTGGAATGAAATCCAATGCCCCTGTGAATTCTTGCTTCTGTATATTCACGATGTATACTCAATGCCATCATCAGCTAATGTCATTGGTGGGTGTAACAAAATAAATGTTCGGGAAATCCTTTCTGAACGACCTACTTACGTGCACATCGTCTTCGTTCCTGTCTAATCTCTAATTCGAATGCTTCTCATGTGGTTGTGTGATGATAGGGATAATGTATTGTTTTGTCTGAATGAATCAAGGTCATTCTGACTTTGAACTGTCTGTGAGAATTGCTAGCGCGTGATTCTTGCCGACAGAGTTTTGATCCCACCTTGTTGAGAATATTCTTCTTGATTCTGAAGTACTTCAGAGGGTTGATTTTGGTTAAATAATTCTGTTGTAGATGTTTCGTCCTAGTTTGGGACTCTTCACAGTATGCACCCACCACCAGTGTTCGAACCCAGGACCTTCTGGTTACAAGACTAGCAAGCTCGTAGACCTTTGAGCCACTGGGACCGGATCCAATGGTCCTTGAATTCTAACTTCTGCCAATTCACGACATAGTGCGACCATTTCGCAATGTCTTTTTCGATTAGTTACTGCCTCATCTTCAACCTGCTGTAACCTACTGGTCACGGCTTCCCACTAGAACCCCAGGTTAACTGCCTGAATAGGCCCAGTCACTAGTGAGCATCAGATTAATTTTCAAGTATTGGTATTGTAGGGATTTTGTTTGATTTCATGGAGGATTTCATCATGAGCTGACATCAGTTAGAGAACCACTGAATTGGCAGAAGTTAGAATTCAAGGACCATTGGATCGGGTCCCAGTGGCTTATTGGTCTACCAGCTCGCCTTATAACCAGAAGCTCCTGGGTTCGAACCTCAGTGGAATGAGTGCGTCCTGAAGAATAGTCCCAAACTAGGACAAAACAGCTGTCCAGTACTCCCAGGTTTTCCAATGGTTCTCTAACTGATGTCAGTTCATGATGAAATCCTCCAATCAATCAAACAAAATCCCTACAAAACCAATACTTGAAAATTCTGTTGTTTAGTAATTGTTTTGCAACTGAGGGCTAATTTATTCTGTATAGCTACCATAACAGCATTGTTGAGGTAATTTAATGTTTTGAAATACTGTAATTGTTGATTAGCACCACAAATTTCATTGCAAATGACCGTCGTTTTGCTGTCGTTTGGTCATTTTGTGACCATGAGTAATACTCCAGGAAGTTCTGGTCAGGTATGCAGAAGAATGCAAAGATCAGTTTTTAGATCACAATCACAAGAAGTCGGTTTTTGGTCTTTACAGTGCGAATATATCCTTTAAGCTAACTTGGTAAACTCCATCGGTCACAACTTGTTATTAGAAACCTCTGGAATTCTAGCCCACAGTCAGTCATTCATATCCGCTGGATTATTTTCAAATGTTGACATTTTTAGAAATTTGATTGATTTCAAGTTAGAGTGCAGGACAATTTACTCCATCTTTGGGACATCACCGTGTGTAGTGTTGTAGAGTCACTGATTTCAAAGAAACAACTCTATCCAGTAACTCTTTCACTTCTGATGCTTCTTTTTAGTTTACTTTATTTTAAATAATGAAGTGAAACTAATCTGATCCATATGATATTCACGTATTGGTTTGTAGACATTGGATTGATTGATTGGTTGCAGGATTCCACGATGAGCTGACATCGGTTAGAGAATCATTGGAAAACCAACACTGGAGTACTGGACAGCTATTTCGTCCTAGTTTGGGGGTCTTCATCAGTACGCACCCACCGCCAGGGTTCAAACTCAGAACCTCTCGGTTGCAAGGCGAGCTGGCTCATAGACCATTCAGCCACTGGGACCCGATCCAATGGTCAGCCCATGAATTCTAACTTCTGCCACATCACGACACAGCATGACCACCCGACCTGCTGTACTGCTGAAGAGTCACAGACTATGAAGAAACAGCTGTGCAGTACTCCCTGAAGATTTTCCAATGGTTCTCTAACCGGTGCCAGCTCATGATGAAATCCTGTAACAAATCCATTATAAGTTGTAACAATTCAATTTTTCCCTTTTTTGTTTTTGTTTTTCCTTAATTTTTCCTTACTATTTTTGTAGATATTGTTGGTATCCAAGATCTGCTGGTAATGTACCAGACAAGGCATTGCAAGCTGGTGAAACATCTTCACACGAATCTTTATTTATAGCCCGTGGTGTAGTGAATGGTGAAGTATGCGTAGGCAAGGTTCATCCATCACATGGTTGTGCTTATTTTCCATGGGGAGGTGATGAACATGCAGTACAAAGTTATGAAGTTTTATGTTTTGTTGATTAATAAACAATTTGCACTATTTTTTATTATCTGACTTGTATTTGAAACGGTTGTTTGTTTTTTCTTCATTTCAACAAACATATTTATGCTCAAAAGAAGATTTCAAAAACAAGTGAATTATCATTCGTATGAATAAAAGAAGTACTTCCCTACATTATGTGATTCAAATTTTAAAATATAAACACTTTGAGTCGTTACCCTTTGACTTATTCAATTCATTGCATCCGTCATACAATAGTAAGATACTCGCCAACCTTGAAAATGGTCTGGATTCGATTCTCGGTTGGCAGTAAGCATGGTAATCAGGGAAGATTAAGCATAAGGTGAAAAACTCTATGCAGTAAAACAAAAAATGCCGCCGGCACAGAAAATTTAAAGTTCAAGCATGAAGCCTGATTGTTCCACTTGGCAGATAAAATTATGGAAAAAGATACGATTTCGTCACGAGATGTATTTATAAATGATATTAGGCATAGACCCAGATTTCCTACTTATCGGTACATATTAGAAGGAAGCGTCTACAACTGAGAAGATGTTCGCGCTTCAGCATAAGTGAAGTGGCATTCAAGTCCTTTGTAAACTGTGGAAATCTATAGTAATCAAAGTATAAAATAAGTTAACTGGTGGATGGTGACTAGTGGTAGAATCCAAGATGCGCATTTCGTCGTATTTGGAACTCGTCAACTGGATGTACCTGCATCCCGCAGTGAGTGATGGTGTAACAACCAAGGCTCCAACCCAGTCTCCATAGTTTCAAAAGTCAAAGAGTTATCCACAAGACCACTTGGTTCACGAGAGCCACCTCTTGTTCAACATGTCATATTAATTATTTAATCCAATTTTAGATTTTCCCGTCGATTGCGGAGTGCAGGTACGTCCAAATGACGAGTCCTAAATAGTACGAAATGCGCATCCTGGATTTCAGTGCTAGTCACCATCCACTAATTAACTTCTAGCTACATGCCCAAATATCGTCGGAGCATCTTTACAGTTTACAGTTTTACAGTTTGCAATTTATTTAGGATAGTAGGCTATATGCCTGTGTTAATCCTTTCGATTTGTCGCACACAGGAGGTCCAATCTCGCCTTGAATGAATCAACGGATGGTGCTGATACGACATGTTCTGGTAGGAAGTTCCAATGGTTCACAATTCGACGCGAAAAACGGATCTCCAGTCGCAGAAGATTCGACCGTGGTTTTTGAACCTTGAGGTGATGTCCTCGCAATTGGTTGATGCTAGAAGGAGGAAATAAATTAGCTCCAAAATCACTCCTTAGGATACGGTATGCTAGTATTAGATCACCCCTAAGTTGTCTGTATGACAGTGGAAATAAACCCAGTCGACTTAACCTCTCCTCATATGAGAGGGTTGAGAAACCCTTTATTAGCTTAGTTCCTACTCTTTGCACCCTTTCTAATAAGTCTATTTCGTATTTGAAACACGGGCTCGCTGCCTGGATCCCATATTCCAAATGAGGTCTGATGTAAGTCGGATATAATATATGAAATATTTCAGCGTCAAAGTTCGCGAAAGCCTTGCGTATGGCCCATAATATTCGAAAACCCTTAGTGGCTGCAGCTCTACAGTTTGTTGCTGTTTTCAAGTCATGCTGCACAACCACTCCCAAGTCCTTGTACTCAGTGACCACTGGGAGAGTAATGCCATTCATTGAGTAATTGTGCACGTGACTATGAGATACATGCATAACTACACTCTTGCTTAAGTTAATCTCCAAGGCCCAGTGCTTACACCAATCACTTAACAAGTTTAAATCTTCCTGCAAAGCAAGTTGATCACAGTCATCGTGTAAAGCCCTCCATATCTTGATGTCATCAGCAAACAGTAAGCAGGATGACTTAACTACCGATGGAATCTCATTAACATAAATCAGGAAAAGAAGTGGGCCTGGAATTGTACCCTGAGTAACGCCACTCTTAACCGATTCCCATGTTGATAAAACCCCGTTAACTCGTACTCTTTGTCTTCTGTCCTTTAGAAAGTCTTGAATCCAGTCGGCAACCATTTTATTGATTCCCAGACTACCTAACTTTACTAGAAGAAGCCGATATTTCAACTTGAGACCGAGCACTTCAGTCCAATCAATCGATGGGAAAATCTTTAATTGAATTAAATAGTATAAAATTAGTTGGCAGACTTGATCGACATTAAGAAATTCACCAGATAAATCTATTACTTTTCAGTAGGTAGTTTTTATCTATAATGTATACTTATTTATTGGAATTAATGAGATATATTGTTCGGGAAGCAATTAGGATTTAAAAGATAAACAGATTTCTTTGTGCATATAGCTGCTTTAAGATTATTGATGATTAAATTTAAAGCGAGAAAGATTTCAGAGAAAAATTGCTTCCAGCAGCTTCTTCCCCCCGCTTCATACGAATATGATGATACAGATATTCAAACCAAGATCACATTTAAAAGTTTGGTAAAAATTCGGCAGTGAGTACATGTGCGTCGGTGGCGCAGTGGTTAGGACTCTCGCCGACCATGTACATGGTCCAGGGTTCGATCTCCTGCCGGCGCACACCCGATATCTATGGTCCGCTTGAATTTGGGCTACCGATATCCATGCTGAAATTTCCACACTTGAACTGAAAATACGGTGTGGAATCAAGCTGTAAATCAAAATAAAAAAATAAAAAAAATGATTACACGATTTCATCATGAGCTGACATCAGTTAGAGAACCATTGGAAAACCTGGGAGTACTGGACAGCTGTTTCGTCCTAGTTTGGGACTATTCTTCAGGACGCACTCATTCCACTGAGGTTCGAACCCAGGAGCTTCTGGTTATAAGGCGAGCTGGTAGACCAATAAGCCACTGGGACCAGATCCAATGGTCCTTGAATTCTAACTTCTGCCAATTCAGTGGTTCTCTAACTGATGTCAGCTCATGATGAAATCCTCCATGAAATCAAACAAAATCCCTACAATACCAATACTTGAAAATTAATCTGATGCTCACTAGTGACTGGGCCTATTCAGGCAGTTAACCTGGGGTTCTAGTGGGAAGCCGTGACCAGTAGGTTACAGCAGGTTGAAGATGAGGCAGTAACTCATCGCAGAAGACATTGCGAAATGGTTGCGCTCTGTTGTGAATTGACAGAAGTTAGAATTCATGCACCGGCCATTGGATAGGGTCCCAGTGGCTCAATAGTCTACGAGCTCGCCTTGTAACCAGAAGGCCCTGGGTTCGAACGCTTGAATTTGGGCTACCGATATCCATGCTGAAATTTCCACACTTGAACTGAAAATACGGTGTGGAATCAAGCTGTAAATCAAAATAAAAAAATAAAAAAAATGATTACACGATTTCATCATGAGCTGACATCAGTTAGAGAACCATTGGAAAACCTGGGAGTACTGGATAGCTGTTTCGTCCTAGTTTGGGACTCTTCAGCAGTACGCGCCCACTGGGATTCGAACCCTTGTAACCAGAAGGTCCTGGGTTCGAATCCCGGTGGGCGCGTACTGCTGAAGAGTCCCAAACTAGGACGAAACAGCTATCCAGTACTCCCAGGTTTTCCAATGGTTCTCTAACTGATGTCAGCTCATGATGAAATCCTGTAACCAATCAAATCCCTACAAACCAACACTTGAAAAAAAAAATGATATTTATTATTCAAAAACATTTTGTTGATGGTGAGACTATTTGACAGTCTTTAGATGACAGATTGTCACTAATGTAGTAGGTGATGGATGATTGGATTTCACTTGGTTTACTAGTCCACTAGTTTCAAAACCAGTCCTAAGCTCAGAAAAAGAGGGAAGATCGGGTTTGGAGTTGGAAAGCCTAATCTGGAAAATGAATCCAATCGCTACAGAATAATATTTGAGTAGCTTGAAAATCCCCATTGAGTCATATGAAAAAGAGAAGACGTTCAGCGAAGAGACTCTTTTCGACGGCGAATTCATTCACATAGCTGTACAATCGCATTTATATATAATTATTTGTGTGTGTGTGTACATGAGGTTTATCAAGTTTAGATAATTGATTAGTTAATACAAGAATGATGTAATATAGAAACAAAGTTAATCAGACAGCAACTAAAGTAAGATTGAGTTAGTAGTAAGTTAGATGACGTAATATAACTGACTAAAATGTTTCAACTTAGATCAGAGTAGCAACAGAGATAATTACAGGTGGAGACTAAGTATAAGTGAAATTGAGCAAGTAAGTTGGTTGACGTAACACAAATGACTAGAAACTGAGCGTTGTTCAAGTCAGTAACAGTGGTAGTGAGGTGTAGAAATTGAATCGGGTGGGGGTAGAGAACAAGAAAGTTGAAAATGTAAAATATTACAATTGAGAAGACAAAATAATACGAATGAAGAGACAGAAGAAAAGATTAGGTAGAATTTACATGTCGGCTAATAAGATAGATTACGTCCATTGCAAGTGTAGTGATTGAACGAACTTCTTCTGTATGCAGACTTCAGGACTTAGCGAGTGAATCGCCATTGCTTCTGCAGTTTGAAGAAGTCTGATTGGTACACCTTTAGGGAGACTACTTCTTACTCTGTAGACGACTTTGAAGTTTGTTTGCGGAGTAGCTTTGTGTCCGGATTCTATCAGATGTTCTAAGATGGAACTGCGGAGGCATCGATTTTCTACTTTGTAAAACCATGTTGGTAAGTGTCCGGTGATACGTTTGGAAAGCGAGCGCTGAGTACGGCCGACATACCTGGCTCCACACGAGCAGGTGAATTTATAAATGCACATTGATCAGGCCAGCAGCGGTAGCTTATCCTTCACGTTCACATGAATCATAGGTTTTGTGGAGAAGGTTAGTCGTAGTTCAGCTGCGAAGAAGGTCTTCTTAAGTGAGCGCGACAGTCGATTTTTTAGTGTTTCCGCGGATAGATCTCCATTGAATTGAAGGTTCATGTAGAGTAGTTTTTTCTTGACGCTAAGCATGGGTGGCTTTTCTGTTCTAGGATTCATAGATTTTGCAATAAGTCTTTCTGGATAACAATTCTCGACGAGGATTCTCTTGAGATTGTCCAATTCATCTTCTATGGTGTCTGGGGTGCAAATTCTGCGAACTCTGTAGCTGAGTGAACGGATCAGGTTTCGTTTGGTGTATAGGGGTACCCAACTGTGAAAGTTACTAACTGTCCGTTCCACGTCAATTTTCTGTGAATAGACCTTTTCAGTGTTCCATCCTTTAAAAA